CTGGGACCACAGGCACCCGCCACAATGCCTGGCTATTTTTTTGTTGCAGCCGTCATTGTTGTTTGGTGGGCCCGGTCTAGATTCGAACCCACCACCTTAGGTATATGTGGCTGGCGCCTTAGTCACTTAAGCCACAGGTCTCGAGCCAGAAACTTCAAATTCTTGGGCTCAAGAGATCCTCTTGCCTCAGCCTCCCAAGTAGCTGGGACTACAGGTTCCTGCCACAACGCCCAGCTATTTTGTTGTTGTTGTCATTGCTGTTTAGCAGGCCCAGGCCAATTCAAACCCACAAGCGCCGGTGCACGTGGCTGGTACCCTACCCACTGAGCTACAGGCGCAGAGCCAGGTATCATGTTTTAAATGATTTGGGGCCAAGTCTGCCAGCATTCACAAAAGGAAATCAGCCACCCCTTTGATTCCCAATCTGATTAGTTAGGTTTTGTGTAATAGAGAAAAGGCCTCGTCCTCATGAATGACCTTTAATTTAAAATATTCTTTATACCAAAGAGTCATATTTTAGGGTGAAATTTCCTTAGCTCCTTCAGTATAAAAGAAGAAAACAAAAAAATTTGATAGGATTACAATTTTTTTTTTGAGACCAAGTCTCAACTCTGTCACCCTGGGTAGAGTGTGGGAGCCCCCGAGCTCACAAGACCCTCAAACTCTTGGGCTCAAGTGATCCTCTTGCCTCAGCCTCCCAAGTAGCTGGGACTACAGGCACCTGGTTATCACTCCCAGCTGGTTTTTCTGTCTTTAGTAGAGACCAGGTCTCTCTCTTGCTCAAGCTAGTCTTGAACTCTTGAGCTCAAGGGATACTCCCACCCTCACTGCTCATAGTGCTGGGGTTACAGTTGTAAGCGACAATGCCTGGCCAGGATTACATCATTTTCTGTACAAGATTAACAAGTTTGACAGTTATACAGAATTAATTAGTTACCATTTGTTTTCTTTCTTTATAGCAGGTTTTCATTTCCTTCTCAATTTAATAGAGTGTACTTCACATCCATCACAGGACAAGGGGATAGCCATGAGGAAAGTAAGAGGAAAGTTAATCTGTAATGAAGACCAACAGTGAGATGGGCAGGACCTCCCTAGCACCCTTATCCTTCACAACCTGAGTGACAAATAAGCCTTAGTTTATAATCAGAAAACCAGGCTGGGCATGGTGGCACAGGCATACTCAGGCAGCTGAGGCAAAGGAATTGCTTGAGTTGAGGAGTTCAAGACCAGACTGGGCAACACAGTGAGACCCCCCATCTCTCTGAAAAATTAAAAACTAAAATGACTGAAGCCTCAAACTCTTGGACTCAAGAGGTCCTTTTGCCTTGGGCTACCAAGTATCTGGAGCTACAGACACCTGCCACAGCATCTAACTAGTTCTTTTTTTTTTTTTTAGACAGAGTCTTACTTTGTCACTCTCGGTAGACTGTCATGACATCACAGCTCATAGCAACCTCCAGCTCTTGGGCGTAGGTGATTCTCTTGCCTCAGCCTCCCAAGTAGCTGGGACTACAGGCGC